TATATATATGTGCGCTTTCAAATTGATCAATCGCGATTAATCACATACAAAATAAAAGTGTTTACATAATATATGTGTGTACGGTGTATATTTATATGTCTATAAATATACTTTTGCAATTCAAAATACAGTATATTTTAATTTGAGGAAGTATGAAACAAGCTGGTTGAAAACAGCAAGCAAAAACACATTTGTGAAATTGGATTTTTGACTCAAGAGATTCCTCATGTCACAGCTAGTCCTGGAGTCCCCTATACTAAATTATAAACACAATATTAATGAAGAATTTGTTATTTGGCAGTTTTCATAAATGATGGATCAATGTGAAGTTTTGCGCTTTATAAAACAGATTAGACTTTGAATTCTGATTGGATGAGACATGTCTGAAGCTGACAGATGCACATCTGTGACCACACTTCAACTGAATTCTACTTTTCTATGTTGCTCAGCAACCACAATCATAGTACAGTTTGGCTGAAAAAAATCTGTTCTATAATTAGTAATGATTAATGTATTTATTGGACTATTGACACAAAGTGTTGTGCCTAAGAACACCCCTTACCCAAGTTAAAAGCATTGTAACACATTGCCTCTCTCGTATACTGCTACATTACTCTGACCAAACAATTTCTTGTTCTGAACAGGAAGTGAACTGTTTGTATTATTGCATACAGTACAGGACTTCATCAAAGTTTCATAGAGGAAAACAGCTCCATAGTGTGCTAGGGAAATGTCAAATCTCTATAGGTTAAGTCTCTCCGTAAGGTAGATGTTAAAGCTGGCTCCATAGAAGACAAAATCCGAAGTAACCTCCGAGAACAGAAAAGCAATTCTACTGAAAACAGCTTTCCTATATTGAGACACTGTTCTGAGCAATACTGTTGTACTTGCACAGATGATGTTCATCATGTCTGAGCAGTATTATTGAAAGTGTCGTGTATGCAGGGACACATTCTTAAGAATTTAATGGGTTGGTGATGAAACATGTTGTTCACGCTGCTTTATTGGTCTGTTGTGTTCCACAGTAGTCACTGCAGTCTGTCTCAACCCCAAGTAGTCTGTCTCAATCCCACTATATCTAGCATCCTTTCATCAGCCAGACATTCTGCGAACCAGGCCATGGTCAAATTGAAAAGGGCAACGTATGTTACTCAAATCCATGACATGAATTAGCATATATAAAGATGGTTTAATTGCATTGCACAGGCTCTACTCAACGAAGAAAACACCTACGCAGACGTCAAAGCCAAGTGCAAAAGACGTGCAGTTGGATATGGCATATTTCAAAATTAGTAGATGAGTTTCACACTTCCTTCAACTTCATAATATCTCTTCCTGTATGCTTAAAATAGTTCAGAGTTTAAAGGACACAGCGCACACACAAAACTTTTGTCACTCGGCAGTCATCTTGATAAAATCCTCAGAAAGCTATTTTCAGGCATGCATAAGTACATCTTCTGTCTGCTTGAACTGAGAAAAACCCAAATCAGTTTTTGACAAGTATCATAAAGCCATCAAAAGTTAGATTTTTTTTAAAGATAACTTTTACAGATGAGCTCAACTTTTCCATAACGTCCAATATGTACATCAGAATCTCAGTGAAAGTTGTAGTGTATCATGGCATTTTCTGGGTTGTATGAATACTGTGGTGGTATTTGGACACACTAATCATTTGACATCCTATTTTGTTTGCTTCCCATAGAATCTGTGGAATGTTATTTGGAGACCTCAGTTGATTACAAACTTACCAACACTTGTTGAATAAGACTCTGCGAACATGAGGTTAGAAAGATGAACATGTCTGAGGAGCAAATAAACTGCACTATAAGCCACGAGATTCACCAGTACCTGTTTTCGGGTGCGTACATCCTCGTCCTGCTAGTGGGTCTTCCCGCCAATGCTTACTCACTCTACCATGCCTGGCTGCAACTGAAAGCCCGCAATGAGCTGGGGGTCTACTTGTTAAACCTGACCATATCCGATCTGCTGTACCTGGCCTCCCTGCCCCTCTGGCTCCAGTATATCTTCCAAGGGGACAACTGGAGCAGCTCTGAGTGGCTCTGCCAACTGTGTGGTTTCCTGCTCTACGAGAACATCTATGTCAGCATTGGTTTTCTGTGTTGTATCTCGATTGACCGTTACCTGGCAGTGGTCTACCCTTTCCGCTTCTCGGCTTTCCGATCGGTACGAGCAGCAGCGCTGGTCAGTGCGGTGGTCTGGCTCAAGGAGCTTGCCGTAGGAGTGGTGTTCTTCTGGCACAAGGAGCTCAGCAGGGACAAGCATAACCAATCTGTGTGCTTTGAGCACTATCCCATGAAGACATGGGAGTACCCAATAAATTACTACCGTTTTTACATAGGTTTCCTGTTTCCTTTAGGAATCCTCTCCGTGTCGTACTTTCGAGTCCTCCGAGCAGTGGGCAAGAGTGCAGGCACACAGACTGCCCAGAAAACTCGCATCAAGTACCTGGTGACCAGCACCATCGTCATCTTCCTGGTTTGCTTCTCACCATACCACGTCTTCCTGCTGGTACGCACCATATTTGAGCGGAACTGCGACTTCATTGAGAAAATGTTCAACTACTACCATTTCTCTCTGTTGCTTACTAGTTTCAACTGTGTGGCGGATCCAGCGCTCTATTGTTTTATCAGTGAGAGTGCCCAAAAGGGCATCCAGAAGGCTCAGAAAGCTTGTACTCGGGTATTCTGCTGTTGCTCAAAAAGTCATGGAAGGTTCAACACGCACTCTACTGAGCTTGCAGTCACCAATGATAATGTTACAGGTACCTCAGTAGTGACACTCTTGCAGCAGATCAAAACTGATGTTTGAACATTTTTGTTGTATTATCTATACAATGGACATCATACAGTTTAGCTACAGGCTCTTCAGTGGACAAAGGAAGCATCATAGATGTACAGCTGCATATTATTTTTTTATTTTGCACTGGTTAGAACATTAGCCTACTTTGTCAGAGTCAGTCCTGTATTTTGTTCTAAAGTTAAATTGTAATATTTCATGGTTTCGGTAAGCTAGCATGCTACTGTTATGTGGTGTAATGCTCAGGGATTGCTACCTTGAAAATCACCAGTGGTTAACATTTGAGGTTTTAGGAACCGATGAGCTAAACATTTTCTGTACTGTTCTAAGTCCCTTTAGCTACATGTGCATGTAGCAGCTAAAAATCTCTGTCCAAGACTAAAACCATTTCTGCTTTCAAACCTCATAGGTTTCCAGTTCCTTTAATACTGTACTTCACCCAAAAATGACAATTCCGTCGTCATTTACTCACCCTAATGTTATGGCCCTATGGACAATAACAGCATGAAATTTTGTGTTCCATGATAGAAATTAAGTCATTAAGTTTGGAACATCATGAAGGTGATCTAAATGATAATAGATTTTTATTTTTATTTTGGGGTGAACCTTTCCTCTAAGAAAACAAAAGCAATGAAGCTGTATCTTTGTTGCCTATACTCACCTTTTACATGGACAGACATGGAGCACACAGACATCTGACAAGTAGAAAAGGTACACGGTGTGGGTATGAAGGGTCAAACATCTCCAAACAGACCATTTTAACCCACTTTGATTTCATATCCTGGGAAATTAGATGAGGAAGAAGTGATTGATGGTTATTTTCAGAAATCATGGATCTTCTGTTTGCTCAAACCGCTGAGGTACAGTGGGTACGGAAAGCATTCAGACCCCCTTAAATTTTTCACTCTTTGTTATATTGCAGCCATGAGTGTTTGGTGCAGAGTTTACATTTTAATGATGGAAGTGATCACAGGTAATACCAGGGGGGTAGGGGAGAGCGGGGCACAAAGTAACACTTTTTGACTTTCTCAAATAAAATGTATTAAAGTAAATAGTGTGAATTACATCGCTAATGTCATAGAATAGCACTGCAGGGCATTGGAATGGTTATTTTCCAGGGTTAGTTCACTTCAGCGCACGTGTGATCTACTGACGAGCCTTCAGTGGGCGTGACAGATAGCGCACAACATTATATAATATTACAATATGTAATATAGCCTATTATATATAATTATAAAACACTGATATAGGAGTAAATAGTATTTGTCATAAATGTAAGGGCACAAATTACTTAAGATAATAGGTAAAGCAAACCCTTGCAGCAAATATATGATGTGGTGCAAAAATCTGATTAAATCTGTGTTGCAATTCCTCTCTCTACTCACCAGACCTCTGGCTGTCTTGCCTGCATACTTTGTGCTTTAAAGTATGTGTTGCCTATCTCATTTCTCCTATTATTATTAATTATATTTTCTTCTATAATATTATTAAAGATGAAAACATGTCCTATATGAATAGTCAGAACAGGACTAAATAATTAATAAATGATTATAGAACTGTCCCTTTAATGCAAACAGGAGAAAAACACTTTCATCATATATTAGTCCTCTTTGTTTAGTCATGGTCTTTCTTGGCTGTCTTTCTTCGGTAACTCTATTGAAAGCAGAATTGTGAAATTAAACAAAGGTGCATAAACAGAAGCCTAAATACAGATGGGATTAGTTAGCATAAAGTCATATTCCCAGTAAAAACGAATCCAGCACCATTTTTAAAGAAATTGAGAGATTGGCCTATTTATTTTATTTTCATGCTTGTTAATCCGGTCCCAGAGAAATGTTTAAAACTTTCAGGTGTAACCAGAGCCAGACTAATTAAAAGTCTGCAGTTTATTTTACTTTATGATTAAGGGTTTTGGGATGGTCTTCTCCAGTGTTGATTTTGGTTGAACCTTGGAAGAGGGAAAGACATTTATCTCTAAAAAGGTCAGTGATAATATACAAATTTCCAAATTACATGAATGTGTTATGTAACACGGATCTGAACTAAAACAGCTGCTTGTACTCCTCGATACACGAGAGTTGTTGTGTAATACCGTGGTATTTTTTAAGTTCCTTAGACTACAACATGAATAATGTTATATAAATATAACGTATGATTCAAGTACCTACTACAACCACAATAACAAGGTACAACCAAAGAATGTAACAATTATGCCTATTAATTAGATTTCATCAAAGCTGCGCTACAGAACTTTTGGCCTTTCTATCGCCAACTGTGGTTAAAAATTAAATTGCATGTCCCTGCGTTTGAGTAATCGATATCGCCATTACAGAGTAGATCACACTACAAAACATTCTCATAATAGTAAAAATGTTCTACAAGTATATCAGAAAATATATATTAAAAAAAAAAAATGTTATTTGAGCAATAAGTGTCATTTCCGTTGTGGGTCCCATTTTGTTTTGATAGGGGTTTTTTCACTTTACCTTATTATCTCTGCACAGATGAGTGTCTTGGTTCCTGTGGCTATGTGATGTGTCCGTGATGCAGGCCACACTATGAAGTCAGGCAAGAGTGAGATTTCTAAGCCGCTGTATGATGTCAGAATGGTAAGGGTGAAAGGTCAATCCATCCACCTCCAGTCCTAAGTTTGCCACTGCGGATGCCATATTTCACCAAAATGTGGAGCATCTCTTCCTCCTGTTTTTTGAATAAATGCACCACATCAAGTCATTTTTGTCTTTGCAGCTGGATTTTTTTTGTCTTTAATCTTTGGTAATGCATTCAGTGGTAATGGTCTTTTATTTTAAGCCACATGTGGGAGTGAGAACTTTAAAAACAGGAAAAGTGTTATTAAAGCATCAATCCATAGCAGCCACTGAGGAGAAACAACATGATGGACACAGAAAATATTTAGGCTAACAGAAAGGAATGTGAATACAGGGTTAACGGGCTGGTTCCAGCTGTTGTGGCCGTGATAATTATAAGGTATACTGGCAGAGGTTCTGAAGTGGTCTGCAGTTCACCGCAAATATAAAAATGGCCAGTGTTGACTGGAAGCAGCACTGCGACACGCTTGCAAGTTTTATACCAGTGGATTTCCACTGAAAATAAAATGAGTGATATTATGAGGTGACATGCATAAACTCTTCCAGAGACACCCTTAAACTGCAATGCAATACTTTTTTTTTAGAAGAACAGATGCTTTAACGTAATGTAGGACTGAACTTAGCCATCATAATCATCAGCCATCATCTTCTATTTTTGATAATACTGTGTTACCTTGGCTACAGTGGGCAGGCAGGCCGTTCACAGGCTCTGTTGATCAGGTGTGGCTGACAGACCCAAGCCCCTCTGGAGGTACCGCCAGTCTATTGGACAGAGATTGAGAACATACAGAGCACAGGCGACAGCATAGCCACCCCAGTTGGACACTCCTATACAGGAAGTGGACGTTAGGTATGCTAAGAAAAGATTGTTCATGGTACACAATCATTGAGGTGCAAATACAAGTTTCTGTAGACACCTCAATAGTATAGTTGATAGTATATAGTATACACAATCAAACCGTTTGGAATAATTTGGATTTTTAAATGTTTTTGATAGAAGTCTCTTATGCTCACCAAGGCTACACTTATTTGATCAAAATAAAAATAAAAACAGCAATATTGTGAAATATTATTACAATTTAAAGTAACTGTGTTCTAATACATTTTAAAATGATATTTAGTCCTGTGATTGCAAAGCTACATTTTCAGCAGCCATTACTCCAGCATTTTTCACTATACACTACCATTCAAAAGTTCGGTGTAAGATTTAAAACATTAAATTGATAAAAAAAAAACAACAACATTAAATTGATCAAAGGTGATATTAAATACATTCATAATGTTCCTAAAAATTTCAAATAAATTATGTTCATTGAACTTTCTATTCATCAAAAAATTCCCCCCCAAAATAATCTATTAATAGAAATATTAAGCACATTTTCTACAATAATATTAAGAACCGTTATTAATAACCGAACACCAAATCAGCATATCAGAATGATTTCTGAAAGATCATGTGACACTAAAGAAACCTGAAAAGAGGCATTTTAAATTGTAATATTCTTTCACAACTGCATTTTTTTTTTTTTATTAAATAAATGCAGCCTTGGTGAGAATAAGAGACAATTAAATAAAAAAACATTAAAAAAAAAATCAATACTCCAAACTTTTGACCAATAGTGCATTCCAATGGTAAAATACTAAAATAAATAGTGCACATACATGAAAATAAATAAATGAATGAATAAATTACCAAGTTATTTATTTGTTTGTTTGTGTGCATTGCTCTATATTATTAGTTTTGGGGAAAATATTCTGAGTTACACACAGTACAAGATCTGTCTGTCGACTATAAATGTGACATGCTATTGTGTACCATACTAAATAGTCTCAAGCTCAATTTTTTTTAAATCAATACAGGTTAACTTGTATTTAATCTGAAACATTCATTTAAATATAGTATCTAAATGAACTACTACTCAAAAAATTTAATTCAAGATATTTATATTATTATTCTCAATATTTTCCATTTCACTCTTAAACATGCCTAAATATCGATTAAATGTTGGAAATATATATATTTTTTAATCAAACAGACACTAGGCAACACTGACAATGTCAAATAACATCTCTGATGCACTTCCTATGATATCGGAAACTAGCATTCTTCCTTTAGCCCCCTTAATAAGGAACAAGTAGGTTTGATGTGAAACTTAGAACCACTGTGTGGGACCACATAGGCTGTGTGTTTAGGTGCAGCGGCCTGTTTTTCCAGCTAGCAGGAAACGCGCACATTATGCGGTCTCTGTGTGAGGTGCACTTAAAGGGGTCATATGATGCTGCTAAAAAGAACATTATTTTGTGTATTTGGTGTAATGAAATGTGTTTATGCGGTTTAAAGTTCAAAAAACACATTATTTTCCACATACTGTACATAAGGAAAAATTGAAATCGCATCATATG